AGATTAATCAAGAATAACTATATTGAAAGGGAGAAACATTCTCACAAAATGGTCAATTATGAAGAACCCGATTAGAATTATTTGATATATATATATATAACGATATAAAACCTTTCTTAAATTGTTATCTATATTTACGTTTAATTTATACGAATGAATGTTATTTAATATAATTTATTATTTAACTATTACCATGGATATTATTTAACGTAATTTTCATTGTCAAATTAATTAAGAGTCATGCAAATATTAAATATTATCTTTTGAAGGACACATTCGACAAAATTACTTTATTATATATTTATATTATATATTTAAAGTCATTAGATCGAAAGAACGTAGGAACAAGAAAATAAATTCTTCGAATGTTCCATGATGATAAATAATATAGAGCGTAATTTAAAAAATTCTTTAACCCTCCTTATCAAGAATTTTTTCCATTTTCCATATCGAAGCAATTAATGCTAATTCGATCGATCGGCAAGGACAATGCAATGAGAAATATAAAAATATCTTGAAAGATAAAAGTCGAATAAGAAAAAGAGAAAGAAAAAGGAGGAAGAGAGATAGAGAGAAAAAAAGAAAAAAAGAAAAAAAGAAAAAAAAAAGAATGAAAAGATCAAACCTTGGTCCAATAGTAATTACGATGGTTTCCGTTTGGTAAAACGAAGCCGATGTCAAAGTAGGGAAAAAATCCCGATAAAGGAGGGATCAGCAGTTATAAAGGTGTCAATAGCACAAAGGCTGGTTATACATTTTCTCTACCTTTTCGTTTTCCCTACTTCCTTTCTTTTTCTTTCTTTTTTTTTTTTTGATCCCCTATTCTTTTTCCTCCTCCTCCTCCTCCTCCTCTTGCTCTCCCTACTTTCCTTTTTTTTCTTTTTTTTTCCTTCGAACCACTCTTTCCCGGTTTTCGTTCGTTCATTCGTTTGACAATCTCTTTCACAATGTATTATAGGAAGAAATAAAAGAACTCTCTCCCTCTTCTTCCCTCCCCCCTTTTTTGTCATTATCATCATTCTATACGACAACACCTTTAGAGTTAGTAAAAAAAAAAAAAAAATATATATATATATATATATATATATATTAATGCTGGACGAAAGACTAAAAGGTTAAATTTGTCAGAAATTAAGTATACGACTAAGCTAACAGTCTAGTAGTAACATCAGTAACAGTAGTTATGTTAGTAGTAGTAGTGGTTTGATGATGGCACACAGCCGGGGCAGCGTAAATAACGTTTTCAGAAGCAGAGGGATAATTATCTCGCTACAGCTTCTACTGGGCTAAAACAGATTCTCCGTATACACGGTGACTACTACCTTTTTTTCACGTTTCCTACTTTCTTCTTCTCTTATTGCTCTTCCTTCTCTTTATTTTCATAAAGAGAAAGAGAGAGAGGGAGAGAGAGAATGAGAGTACGAAGCTCTCCATTTCTCTCTCTCTCTCTCTCTCTCTCTCTCTCTCTCTCTTTGTTTCTGTTTCCGTTTCTGTTTCTCTTTCTCAACTCTCCATTTATATGTAATCACTCATTCGAGTCTTTTCCGTATTTACTTGGTATGAAATTAAACAATTTACGTACTAACATAATCAAAGTTTATACTAAATTGTTTTAACCAAAATATCTGATAGATATATACCAACGTCGATTTTTTTCTTCTTTTTTTTTTCTTGTTTTCTTTTTTGTTTTTTTTTTTTTGTTTTTTTTTTCTCTCGATCATTCAATCGAACTTTTAAAGCTTTCGCCAATTCAATAAATGTCATTTGAGTCAACAAGTGATATATTATGATCGTTGCTTGACTACTCAACATTAATTAGATCGGAGTTGATTGATTAATTATATGACCAAGTTAACTTGATGCTATTTATGATCATGGGCTTCGATGTTACATGGTTTTCGATAATTAAGCATAAGCAATTAATTGTGCGAATTTGATATTCTCGAATGTCTTTCTAAAAAAAATCATGAAATAATCAGAGATATCTGCATTGTATATATATGTGTTCGTGTGTGCATTTATATATATATATATATATATATATATATATATATATATATATATATGCAGTTGTTTCCGTCGGATGGATGCACTCCAAGCAATCAGCGTTTTCATGGGTTCGAGTTTCGACGATATCAAGGAACCAATCTAAATGCGGCGAGTTGCGAGAAGGAAATCATTTTCGTTTGACATATCACATGGAACAATACGAATTTATATTCGTATGATACGATATATTATAATGGAAATAAATTCAACCGCATATTATTACTGTACAACAATATTCACGGGAAATAAATTCTGTTGGTGGTAGAATGTTATGACAAACGTAGCTGAGTTTCATGAATGTTACTTACGACGTAAACATTATTCCCTTCTCATGCTTCGTTCATAATATTAATTTTCCTTACACATAAGTATTATATTTCGTTTATTACGAAGAATACTTTTAAATATACTTATCTTTTTCCATTCACATAATAGAATTTCTTTCTTCCATAAGACACGATATGATAAAATGACAATGCATTCGAACGGATATCTTAGGTCATTCATTTTCTCTTTGCATTTTTGTTTCTCTTGTAAATTTTTCTTCTGTTTCTTTCTCTTTTATTTTCTCTTTTTTCCTTTTTTTCTATTTCTTTTTTCTTCTTTTCTTCAAAACACGGTAACACGGTAAGATCAACTTGCTTTTGTGGGATGTTTTTACAAAAGCAACCATATGCATTCAAAATAATTAACAGAGTGATTTTAAGATACAGAAAAAGGGCAAGGATTTAAATGGATATAATTATTTTGTAAAATTTGCTAGATTCTCTTATTGTTCTATCTCTTTTTCTCCCTATCCCTTTCCCTTTATTTTTTGCTTTTCTACCATATTTCTATCCTTATCCCTTCTCCACATCTCTCTCTCTCTCTCTCTCTCTCTTTTTTCAATTTTATCATTTTCTTCTTTTCTATCATATTTCTCTCTCTCTCTCTCTCTCTCTCTCTCTCTCTCTCTTTCTTTTTCCTTCACACGTATCTGTAGCTTTTGATTACTTTCTACTTTCCTATCCAGTATAGCTGATTCTGTAACTGGGCGCACAATTACCGTATCCACGCAATCAGTCAGGTTTCTCGTAGCAGCATGGATGTTTACCAGCCGGAACGTAGCACATTTAGTTTCTAATGGACCTTGGCGACGAAGGATAATGATACGTTCGTTCCGCGGCTCGGTGCAGTTTCACCAAAATGTTCCTACACTGATACGATTTCCTCTTGCATCTCTACCTCTCTTGCATGTCTTCCTGCCTGTTCTAAGCATCAGACAATATTTGTTTTTCACTCTGTCGACTACTGCAAACTCAACTCTATGTTTGCCAAAGTGGAACTTTCGATAGTATGGCATATCATGAAAAGACATTTTCATTTCTATAAAATACACTGTGATACTATTAAAATGTAACAGATCCATTAAGAAAAAAAAAATGATTGAATAATCCTTTTGGGTTTTATGTATAAAAGATAAAAAAATTTGTTTAGTTAACAATTAAAAAGTGATTTATCTAGTTGACTGATTACCGAAAATGTCGATATGTCGAAGAATATGAATGCATTCAAACTTTGTTTATATAACTATGTACATACGTATATACATACATACATCCATATATACATACATATGGATAAATATTTCGATATACGAAATACGCGTTGCTGCTTTCATTCATATGAAGTTAGTAGTGCAGCTTTCCCATCACCTATGAGAAAGAGAGAGAGAGAGAGAGAGAGAAGAGAAGTTCTCGTAGTTTCACGAAGTACTTTTAGGATCGTGTGGTTAAGTGTCTGACGAATAGCACACGAGGGAAATTACAAAAGTCTCATTCGTCGGTTCTTCTCATTTTCTCGATGCGTCGTCATCCATTAAAAGATCTCGCGACTTTCAACGATAATCGTTATTTTACACGATTCCTTTGTATGCAATTGAAAAAAAAAATAATAATAATAATAAATGAAATTAAGTATTAACTTTCGAACAGGACGTAGGGAATCCTAGGGTTACGAGGAAGAGAAAAAAAAAATTCTAGGAAGGAAAGAAAAGTGAAAAGAAAATTATAACAATAAGAATGAGATCGTAGAGCGTGGGATTAACTAGTGAATGAAAGAAAAAAAAAAAAAAAAAAAAAGAAGAAAGAAAGAACTTCGTAAAAAAGTGTTCACTAAAGAATATACGATATATTATCGACGCGTCACCGAATTTTTCCTCGAGATAATCCTACGATTTTTCGTGTATTCTTCTTCAATACCGTAAAATCGTAACTCAACCAGTGTCGATGGTATACGATTTCAAAAGCTTGAAGGTATTATTTATAACCTCTCTGCCGTGTATTCTCCAACTAGAAAGAACTCCCAACATCGATGTTACGTATCAATGAACTAACACGTATAAGCAATGAAACTTTACGAAGTTTTATTTATAAATGGGAGAGAGAAAGACCGAGAGAGAGAGAGAGAGAGAGAGAGAGAGAGAGAGAGAGAGAGATAACAGACAAAAAGGAAAGTAATGAAAATTAATAATTTCATTTTTACGAATTTAACAACCGTGTAGGATAATTTTGATTTTACTACGAGCAACATGAATATTCTTTTTATCTGTCCTTTTTTTTTTGTTTCTATTTTTGTTTTTTTTTTTCTTTTTTTTTTTTTTTTTTTTTGGTCGGTGCTTTCGAAACACACACACACGCGTGCACGCTCTCGCGCACATATGATACAAGCACGATTTATCATCGTGACAATTTTGGAACGAATATCCTACGGTATACTGGTCTCTCATACCTATTGCCATCTCTCTCGTACTCTTCGCAATATCCCTTGAGGCTTCTCACGGACCAATCATCTTGTTCGTGAACCACTTCAAACTTGTATCTATGATTAATTGAATCCTTCTATAGATCTATACGCGTATGCAGGCCAACTTCTATCCTGGGATTAAGATACAAGTTTCTTTACGAGAACGTCTGTAAGAAGAAATACGAAAGGACTTTTATCGAGATCGATAACTTTTCAGGGTGATCTCATCGAAAAAAAAAGTGACAAGAAAAAAAATGATCGATCTTAGTGAGTAATGATTTATACTAGAGGAAGAGAGAGAGAGAGAGAGAGAGAAAGAGAGAGAGAGAGGGCGAGGATGATAGAAAAGATAACGAAAACACAGGAATTGTAACGCAAGAAAAGAAACAAGTTATGTATGTATGGTTTTTTCGAGGAGCAACGACGACAAAAATTTGTTCGTTGACGAAAAAGACAAAAAAAGAAAAAAAAAAGAGAGGAAAAAAAAAAAGACAAAAACAAGAGAAAAGAAAGAAACACGCGTAAATATTTATTACCCGCGAATTTATCGTGCAAAAATTTCACGTCCCTTTTATTTCTTTTCGTTTGCAATAAAATGAAACACTTCCGACGGATCATTACGCAGCCTTTTGTTCCACCACATGTATCGAATAAATGGAGAGAAATAGCGAAGCGAAAAGAGAAATCGAAAAGGGTAAAAATAAAAAAAGAAAAAGAAATGGAAGGCAACGCGCAAGCTCGAGTATCTATATTTTATCCACTCTACCATGTGAACACAGACGGCTAGGAAGTGCGCACGGCTGTCGGATTTTTACTGCTCGTAAACCTTTTTTATGGTTGCCCATGGCTTTACATACGTATGATCTCGACTCCAAGCGTTGTTGTATCAGTCGATGTTTCAATGAACGCAATAGCTCTCATGCATACGTTACATTCATATTTTTCTTTTCTCGTTTCCTTCACTCAAATCTATCAATAGTCTTGTTTTCTCATTTCGAAGGGATCATCTTTACGTTTTCTCATTCGCGAAGAAGTATCGTACAACGTATTATCGTTTTTTATATTATTATCAATTTCAAGCGACATCCTTTATCCAGATATATATATATATATTTTTTTTTCTTTTTTTCTTTTTTTTCATTCTATATACAAAAATAAATGACAATTTTACAAACGACTCTTCAATATTTTTTTCACGATTATTTTAACCCATTCACCGCCATTATGGTCTCCGATGTACCGTTACTGAGTGACTTTACATCACCCGATGTTTCTTTTATTTATATCACGTTTTTGTGCAATTCAATACTGCAACGCAATTCGGTATTCTATTATTCTCTTTTAATATACGATATCGTCGAAATACATTTTTTCTTTTTTTTTTAACGATCAATGCGTTAATTAGAATAAGCTTTTTACTTTTCGCATATAGATAACTCTATGTCAAAATTAATACTCAACTCCATAATTACACAACGTATGAATGACACTCATGTAAAAATGAACTATTACATGGATGAAACAAGATGTCGAATGGGGATTTAAGGAGTGAATACGTAAAGGGTTAAACGATGCGATATCTTGAAAACACGTAATCCTTAAGAGAGACATTGGAGTAAAGGGATCGTATCAGTGGTCTAAAGCTCTTGGATAAAGGTCATCTCTTATTCGAAAGCTCTTTCGACTCTAAGTTCTTTTTTTCTTTTTCTTTTTTTTTTTTCTAATTGGACGCCGTTCAGTAACCGCTGAATAAGAGTTGGAAATGGAGCTTCGTTGGATATACTTGGCGATCGTTTAAAGGTGAAAGAACGATATGGGGAAACTTCTATTCGTTCATTCACTTTTTCTTCTAGGATCTTTTCCTTCCCTTTTTCTTTTCGATGATAAGAAACTTGAACGTCCTTAGAAACGACCTAATCAAATTCCATTTCGCATGAGAAAGAGATAGAGCGTAAGAGAGAGAGAGCGTGAGAGAGAGAGAGAGAGAGAGAGAGAGAGAGAGATATGAGTCTTTGAGTTGCATTTGGTAATTCGATGCGACGATGGACTCGAATATCGATGATATAAGCGTAAGTAGAAATTGCATTCTCTCTTAGAAGTAGATAGAGTATGTATCTCTGATGTTTCGAGCTATCGAAATCGGTTTGGAACTTGGTCTACCTAACAGCAATTCAATCAATACGGAAGGAGCGGTTTGAAACTTAGAAAGCCGCGGTAATTGCGCCCGTTAACTTTTGTTGATCCATCGAGAATAGGTACGAACGAGAGAAGAAGAAGAAGAGAGATGGAGAAAGAGATAGAGATAGAGAGAGAGAGAGAGAGAGAGAGAGAGAGAGAGTGACGCATTGAGTTACGCGAGAGTATCGTTCTAAGAACTATCTGCTTGCAAGAGGATAGCCCAAAGATCTATCAACTTGCCCCGGGAGGATGCTTCGAATGCGAACAAACTAATTTACGAAGAACCAAAGTCACTGACTTCCAAAATCGAACTTACTACTTTCTAAGTTGCTTTAATCCTTCTTTTGGATCTATCAAAGAAAACTATATAATAAATGGTTTACACGTTTGAGAAAATAATGCATGCTGCTTAAATAGTCTAATAATCAGGAGTAAGAAAAAAGGAAAGAAAGAAAGAAAAAGAAAGAGAGAGAGAGAGAGAGAGAGAGAGAGAGAGAGAAAGAGAATTCTGTTGATTGGACTTAATCGATAAAAAAATAGAAATTTCTTAAAGAATCGAGAACACCTTCGATCCGCTTAGAGAGAAGAATTGCCTTTATTTTCTTTCTCTCTCTCTCTCTCTCTCTCTCTCTCTCTCTCTACTCTTTTCGTTTGTTCAAAAGCTAAGCGTTGATCTTCGGCTTAGTTAACAATGATACTTAAAAGTTTCAATAGACGTTTATCTTAGAAAGCTTCGTACACTTGGAATCCGTTGCGACCAATTACTAAGTTTCTCAAGGAATTATTGTTATAATTTCTCTTAACTGTTTATATCCGTAGAAAATTATCGTTCAACAGAGATTTGTTTTGGATCGTTAATAATTATTAAACCCTCCAGGGGATGTTAATTATCTTGTCTCGTTTCTACGTTCTCGTTCTTCTTCTTCTTCTTCTTCTTCTTCTTCTTCCATTCTTTCCTGGTCTCCTTCTTATTCTATTCTTAGAATTCTCGAGACGGGTAATAATAATCACGATAGAACATCACTAACATCCATTGTAATTTCTACAAACTATCAAGGAATCTATTACGTTCATCTATATGTTCGTTTTACGATAAAGGGTTACTCTAATTACGTTAAATACGTGTGTATATTTGTAATAACGCTGTGTTAAGGAAAGTGTCGACGTCTACAGGTTGATGACGTGTCCCTTACTCGCCATGACGTCGAGCACATTCTAACGTTCGAATATTCACCTAACGAAGTTTGTATATTAGCTGACAAGAACTACGGACTTTACCGTAAAGTTTCTCCTGAAAACGGGAAATTTAAACGACGTTATACCACCGACCCATTGTGTCTACGTGTCCGTGGCATAATACTCCTTCAGAGTTCAAAACATGCTTACCAACGTTTTCGAACGAAATCCTATTTGTATTTCCTATTGTGGTTAGTACTGATAGAAGGTAGTACGTATTCCAAAAGTTAGAGAAAATGAAATAGATATAGCCAGGGAAGTATTTACTTTGAATAACGTTACATCGAAATAGGTGATATTAATCGACGAGTATAAAAGTATTAATATCGAAAGATATTTAATCTTTATTATATCAATTTCTATTGTATCGAGATAAAATGTGATATATTTTTATTATTATAATTTTACGTTATATTGACTTTTATTATTTTTTATTTTTTTTTATTTTACTATTTGACAGATTATGGAAAGAAAAATCATTGATCGTTGATCGTTAAGATCAAAAATAAGAATGAACGAAAAGTATAAGAAAAAGTAAACGAAGTTTTGAGGAACGACGATAAGCTATTTAATTCAAAAGGAAACTTTTTTCGTCGTACAACTAACGTATGTTAATATCACGCTAATAAAGTATATCGTATCCCTTTTACTTAGTATTGCTTCTCGTTCCTGAACTCAGCACGATCCACCAAATGATTTCGAATTCATGCTGAGTTTCGAGTTGACCGTTTTCGCTGACCAACGTTGAGAATCGTCTAAATTACGCGCCTCCTGTTACATCATACAACTAGCCTATGAGAAATCCCGAAATCGATCACGTTTCCTACCTTACAGATAATATCACCAAATGGAAAGTAAAAAGAAATGGAAAAAAATTTTTCCGTGAAAAATAATTCACCATTGAAAAACGTGGCGCAAGGAATATAGGAAAAGAAAAAAAGAAAAAAAAGAGAAAAAAAAGAGAGAACTGAGTTTTAAAAGTTTTATTTAAAATACCACCAATCGTTCAGACCGAACGAAAGTGACAAATTAATAAAAAAAAAAAAAAAAAAAAAACATTGTATTACAAACTGAAGCGAATATAAAATTGTTAACTAATCGTAAAATCGTCAATGCATTGCTCCTGCAATTTTTAATTAAATTATAATTAATATTCTGGATTTTGAAAGATAGCGAGAGTGATAAGTAAGATCGAACGATATATATATATATATGTAGAGAGAGAGAGAGAGATTGTTATTCTTCTCTAAATCTTTAATTTAAGGGTAAGCATCGTGAGAAGTTACATTTCATGGTAACATTCGATCTCAACAAATATGAATTCCGTGCTGTTCTTACTGATAGTAAGTACACGAGAGTACGTTTAGATCCTTGGTGAGAGAAAGGTGTGTATGTGTGTGAGAGAGAGAGAAAGAGAAGAGAGAGAGAGAGACAAAGAGACAAAGAGAGAAAGAGAGAGAGAGAGAGAAGAGAGAGAGACAAAGAGAGAGAGAGAGAGAGAGACAAAGAGAGAGAGAGAGAGAGAGAGAGAGAGAGAGAGAAAGATAGAAGGTTCTCTCAACAGAGTGGAGCGTACTACGTGTGCGTGTACGGATCGTTAAGCGATACGAGGAGTGCTGTACGTGCGACGATTCCGGAAAGAGCGCTTATCTCCTCGTGCATCCCGCTAAAACGACGGCTTCGAACCGATTGTTTATCGATAACGTAGTATCATGGCTACGATCGCAAAATCTTCCCAAAAGATTTTTCTTCT